CATCATGTAATTAATCTTACATTTTGGAGTCGCCACTAATCGGTTATGGGTCGATTAGACACTCGAGTAAAATATAGGAGTGTATTTTACTTGTACGAACAAGAGGTTCAAAGGATTCGGGGACTCGGTACCTTTTCTCTTTATTTCAAAAAAATGTTTTTACGGATCAAAGAATTATGTCTAGATAATATTAAGGGTTTGACCTTAGAGTCTAAAGGTCCAAACGCCCTAATATATCTTGGTTAATGCAAAAAAAATACATAACTAGATAAGCTAAGGTTTTATTGACTAAATGACATGTAGTTAAAATCATGTATTGACAATCCACAAATTTAAACCGATCTCATCATCACTTTGGTTTGAGCTAACCGCAAGAAATTGATAGTGAACCGTGGATAGCAACCGAAGGTATGCAACAATAATGAACAGCAACGAACGGCAACAAACAATAGCGGACAGCAAAAGTGAACAGCAGCAAATAGCGGCAACAGTGGTGCAACAGCAACTGCGAATGATGAACGGCAACGATGAACAGCAAACAATGACGAGGAGTAGCAACGCAACAAACGACAACGAACAACGACGATGAGTAGCAGCAACAATAATGGCGAACAGTGGCAGCGAGGATGCTGCGGTAGCGAACAGCGACAAACGACAACGAACGGTGACGACACGGCGGCGAACAACGGTAGACAACGGCCGAGCAGCGGCGACGAGCAACGGTGAGCAGCGACGAGCAGCAGCGACGCAGCAGTAAACAGAAGCGATGCAGCAGCGACGCAGCAGCAAACAGTAGTGACACAGGATCGAGAATAGCAAGAGCGACGCAACTAGGCTCACTAGAACAAAGGAATTTGCTGCAAATTATAGAGAAGAAGGATGTGGTGGAACTATAGCCACAGAAAAAAAACTCCCTTGTTTCTCTTGTATTTTTGAACTCTCTGTATTTTGAGCTCCACTTCATGTTCTGCAATGGCTCAACCAGCTCCCTTTTTATAGTAAAAGACCTCCAGTTTTCATTGGAAAGTCTGAACCCGTGATCCTATGATTGTGGGGATTGCCGAATTTTAGACTTTATTTGTTGCCGTGAATTAGTGCCCCAAATCTCGCCTCTCCTCGAAATCTTTAGGTTGCCTTTTCCGCCCCCACTCACATTGCCTTGAAAGTGTCCACATTCACTTGTCATTATTTATGATTTCACAACCAGCATTATCTCCTTGATTTTCTCTTCGCTCAATCTTTCCATTCGGCTTTTCTTGAGTGTTAATTCTTTCCATATTGCTGGACAAATCCCATTGATTCCTATCACGATTCCAGAATGTGTCTTGCCAAAAAGAATTTCATGAAATTTGGAGGTGCTCACGAAAGAATGGGGATTTGGTATATTCTTATCACTTCAAGCTCCCAATCTTTCCATGACCAATTATTTGACTGAGCTGTCCAATTCCCACCGTTAGAAAACAACTCCCCTTGTTATGCTAAAGACAATTTGTGTGATATGGCGGGGATGAGCTTTCCAATGTGGGAGATCTTTTCCAAAGTTGAGAGTATTTCATGGAAATTTCTTCTCTTCAACTCTTTATTTTCCTTTTTCATTCATCCCCTCAGTAGAAACCGAATCTCTTAATGGTCAAATATATGTGCATGAATGGACTCTTCGTGCGCAATTATCGGTGGCCAAACTTGAGCAAGGTCCAACTTGAACATAATATGAAAATGCAATAATATTTTTGTTTAGAAGTCAGGATCAACTCCTAATTTTTTATGCAATAAATGAGTAAATGGGAAAATTAAAATTTAGGTGCCAACAGCTGCCCCTCTTTAAAGGAGAGCTCGCAGAGGTTTCCTTTAAAGATAGATGACACCTAAATTTAAATCATGCAAATGCAATTCAACAAATTTTTTTTTTGGGACCTCAAAGAATCTAATCCCATGTTCAAAATGCAATGATATGCAATAAAGAATGCAATGTAAATGCTAATGATGAAACTGTGCAATGCAATGATCTTTTTGTCGAGAATGGATTTCAAGGAATCCGATCTCATTTTCATATGCAATGTAAAGTTGATGCTAATTAAGATAGATAGTATACGTACCTATTGCCACTTACCTAGAGATCCGAAAAAGCATACTTGGGTACAAAACAATTCTTGGGAGTCTTGACAAATATCTTGAATTCTTGAATTCTTTCAGACATTTGAAAAGTCTTTCAACAATGTGATGAGAATGATGTCAATGCAAAGATGGAATATGTACCTGTTGCTGCTTACTTGGATGGTTCTCAAAACTGTCGAAGGTTAAGAAACTCGAACACTTAGATGGTCATAGGGGTCTAGCAAGATCTTTGACAACGAGCTCCTGGATGGTCCTCAAGGCTCTGCAAAGTCTTGGAGAGAAGTACTTGGATAGTCCTCGAGGCTTCGGAAGATCAAGTATTCGGATGGTCCTCGGGTACCTTGGGGTCCTTGCCCAAGGATTCATTGAATTTGCCTGATGGGTTCTCTCGCCAACAGGGATCAGATTTCTCAGATTGCTTGGAAGTGTACCTGGAACTCACCTCAAGTCGGATAGATGGACATCTGGAACTCATTCCAGATTGTCTAGAAGGATATCTGGAACTCACCTTAGATAGTCTGGAAAAGTTTTGAAGTATCCAGAACTCGCCTCGGATTTTTGAAGGATACTTGGAACTCACTTCAGGTTGTCGAGAAGGATACCCGAAACTCACCTCAGGTTGTCAAGAAGGATACCTGGAACTCACCTCGGGTAGGATAGACAGACATCTAAAACTCACTTCAGATAGTTTGGAAAAGTTTTTGAAGTATCTGGAACTCGCATCAGATTTTTTAAGAGACACTTGGAACCCTCCTCATGTATAGACATTCGGAACTCACCTCATAATGTCTGAAAAGATACCTGGAACTCACCTCAGGTATTTAAGTAGACACTTGGGACTTACCTCAGGTTGTTAAGAAGGATGCCTGGAACTCGCCTCAGGTAATCATAGATAGACATATGGAACTCATTTCCGATAGTCTAAAATAGTTTTGAAATATCCAGAACTCACCTTGGATACTTGAAGTGTACCTAAAACTCACCTCAGGTAGTATGGGTTGTCTTGATAACATATACCTGGAATCCTCATCAGGTATTGAAAATTGCTTAAATGATTCCGAAGTACTCACCGGATAGCTCTGGTCTCTCTGTTGGATATTGTTAGAGAAAATATATACATGAGACAAACATAGTTTATCTATGAACACATATCTCTAGAAAGACTCATTAAACTCATCAGTTGGGAATTATGCATAACAATTTCACCGTGTTTGCATCACCGAATTTCCATAGAAAGAGTCATCATCAAGATGATATATATTCACAACGTGAATTTGCTCAAAATGCCAAACGAGAGATTTTCAATCTGAAAGGACTTTTGACTCACACTTACTTAGAAGGCTGTTTTGTCCCGACCATTGATACGGGAAAAAGAATAATCGCTCGATCTTACCATCGTCATGTCGACAAAGGGTCCGAGTTTTCTCGCAAGTGGTACGACCCTACCAATCTGAGGGGTTTTTTGATAGGACCATAATGTAGGCTTGGTCAATGATTTAACAAAAGGATAAGTCAATTCATGGCTTTGGAAGAATTTTTCTTCAATCATCATCTTCGCTGGGTTTACAAGTCAAGAACCCTGCAAATGAGATAGAAATAATCTTGCTTGCACTTCCACGAGTGAAACTTTTAACATTTGAGACCCCTGCGTAAATTTAAATGTCCTAATCTGAAGAGACTTTAAAGGGACATAATGTAAGCTCAGTTAAGGGTTGAGAAACGAAAGGATTTGTTAGGCACAAAGATTTTCATAAAAAGGGGTTCGAAATTGGTGATCATCGTGGCATTATTACCAATCTTCTCTTTCACCTGGGATTGTCTGCTTTATTGACCACGAGAGTCCAACACTAATCTTCACGAAATCACCATCTTTTCATGACGATGATTTTTGCAAACTTGACCTTCGGCCACATCTTTTCACCCCCTTCATCTTCAACAATTTTTTCTTTCACTCCTATTTTCTTTTCTTTTCTTTTTTCTCTCTCTTTTTTCTTCTTCTTCTTCTTCTTTAACTCTTTCCGACGCATTTCTTGCGGTGCTCCAAAGGACCCAACCAAATGTGCCATCAACAATTAAGTTCTTTTTGAATTCTCAGCGTCTTTATCTCCGGTCGATGCTCCGAATCATGTTGTCTCAATGTAGTAACTCATTTGCCTTGCCTTAGTGTGGGGGATGATCACCAATCGCGTTTGAGAAATGAATTTACAAACTCAATTGGGTTACGCAAGGGACAAAAGTGTGTATGGTAGAGGAGGAAATGCTCTTCATCACTTTAAGGCACTTAAATTCACATTTGAGTTCATTTGTATTTATGACACTCGGAGATTGATGCAAGTGAAGGCAAGAAAGTTCTATTCATTTTTCACCTTGTAATGTCACCCTTACCTCCAGTCTGCCCCAATGTGGAGTGGTTCTTGATAAGGCTATTTTGAAAGAATTTCTTCTATCGTTTAGGCTCAAGTGGGCTAAACAATGGTTACATGTACTATTTATGGTATAGAAACAAAATGCCCCTCGTCATTTCAATCCGTGTACCTTTCGCAAGAAAACTCTTTTACCTTGAGAACATGAAATTTTTCTTTGCTCACCCCTTAGTGTAAAAGGCACTGTGTAGAGGATAAGGTTTGCCTGTCATCATCCTGACACTCCTCATGTACCATTCTCAGCATCACACATCATTCATTGAATCGTTTGACAATACAAATTTCAGAGAAAATTGGTGATTGTTATGCATAAATCTCCAACTACTCATTAGTTCCTTGCCTTGCAAAAGTAAAATATGTATGACTATACAAACATGAGATATGGTTTGACAAGAGAATGACCGTTTTCATTCATGGGTAGTACTTCTTTACAGCATCAGAATTTACAGGATTCATGAATTCCTATCCATCCATTTCTGCTAATATCAAAGCGCCGCCTGGAAGTACTTTCTTCACAACATACGGTCCACTGTAATTTGGACCGAACTTGCCATAAGGGTGAGGGATGACTGATAGTATCTTGCGTAGTATCAAATCATTGACTTCGAAGTGCCTTGGGCGAATCTTCCGATTAAAGGACTTGGCTACCCGTTGCTGATAACGTTGACCATGACATACAGCTCTCAGCCATTTTTCATCAATCATGTTGAGTTGGTTATACCTCTGTTGCACCCATTCGGCCTCCATCAACTTGGCCTGAGATAATACTCTTAACGAAGGGACCTTCACTTCCACAGGCAAGATTGCTTCCACACCATACACTAGAGAAAAAGGTGTTGCCCCGGTAGACGTTCGAATCGAAGTTCTGTACACCATCAGTGCGTAAGGGAGTCTCTCATGCCAATTGTGGTAATTATCAGCTGCCTTTGCTAAAATCTTCTTAATGTTCTTATTTGCAACCTCAACAGCACCATTCATCTTGGGGCGATAAGGAGATGAGTTCAGGTGGCGAATCTGGAACTCCTTAAAGAGATCATTAACCAGCCCATTATTCAAATTTGATCCGTTATCAGTGATGATTGCCTCTGGCACGCCATAACAGGCGATAATATCTCGACGCATAAACTTCACGACGTTCCTTGTAGTTACAGTTGCATAGGAAGCTGCCTCTATCCACTTGGTGAAGTAATCAATAGCCACAATGATGAAACGGTGGCCGTTTGTGGATTAATCGGGCCAATCACATAGATGCCCCACATTGAAAAGGGCCACGGTTTAGACAATTGATGTAACTCATTCGGAGGGACGTTTATCTTGTCCCCGTGGATCTGGCAACGTCGAACATGTTGGATGCAATCACTTTCAAGAGTCAACCAAAAGTATCTTAATCTCATAATTTTTTTAGCAAGCATATGACTGTTCATGTGAGGACCGCATACTCCTTCGTGTATTTCTTCTTCCATCAGCTGAGTGGCTTCTTTAGCATTCACGCATCTTAGCAATACTGAATCAAAGGATCGCTTGTATAGTGTGTCTCCGTTGACAAAAAATTTGGAAGCAAGTTTCATAACATGTTTCCTGTCGGCTGGGTTGCTACCTTAGGGGAACTCTTGGCTTTGAATATAAATCATTATGTCATGATACCACGGTTTTTCTCAAACTCTTTTGCTACCATCATGCAATGGGCTGGTCTCGAAAGAATTTCAATCTTGAGGGGCTTGACTTCTAAACTGTTCGTGGCTTGGAGCATAGATGACAGTGTCGCAAGTGCATCTGCAAATTGATTATGAGACCTTGACAGGTACTCAAAGGATATTTTGTCAAACTCTTTAACGAGATCCTCCAAGTACTCGTGGTAAGGGACCAATTTAGCATCTCGAGTTCTCCAATTTCCAACGGTTTGGAGGATAATAAGTGCAGAATTGCCGAAAACTTTAGGTTTATTGACTTTCATCTCAATGGCCCCCTGAAGGCCCAGAATACAAGCCTCATATTCTGCTATATTGTTGGTGTAAGGGAATACTAATTTTGTAGCCACATGATAATGTTGTCCGTTGGGAGATATCAGAATTGCCCTAGTTCCAGATCCGGATAAATTGACTGCACCATCGAAAAACATGGTCCATGACTCCTCTTCCATTGTCAAAATGCGATCGTTAGGGAGATCCTATTCGTCTTCATTTCGAGTCTTTGTGGAATTATCTGCCAATAAATCAGCGATTGCCTGCCCTTTTACTGACTTCTGCGATACACTTTGCACATCGAATTCTGAAATCAAGATTTGCCATTTTGCCAACTTTCCCATTAGAGCTGGTTGTTCTAGCAAGTACTTGATGGGATCATTTTCGGTGACCAGGCATATCTGATAGTGTAAGGTGTATTGCCGTAGTCTGTGTAAGACCCACAATAAGGCAGCACACGTCTTCTCAACATTTGAATTGTTCATTTCTGTCACAGAAAATTTCTTACTCAGGTAGTAAATAGCACGTTCTTTCCCATCTGTAAGCCCTTTTTGAGCCAGCATTCCTTCTAGCGACTCCTTATTAATTGTGAGGTAAAGAAGGAGAGGTTGCCCTGGTGTTGGGGGAATTAGCACCGGTGGGCTCATCAAGTAATGCTTCAACTCTTCAAATGTTTTTTGACACTCATCGTCCCATTTGACTTAGGCATTCTTCCGAAGGAGCTTGAAGAAGGGCTTTGCCGTTTCTGAGAGTTGGGAGATGAATCGAGCTATATAGTTCAACCTTCCCAAAAGGCTCTAGACTTCTTTTATCGTTGTCGGTGGGCGTAAATCACATATCGCCTTTACTTTCGACGGGTCAACTTCGATGCTCCTACTACTGACGATGAAACCCAACAGTTTATCAGAAGTTGCCCCAAACACGCATTTTGTTGGATCGAGGCGTAACTTCAATTCACGAAGTCGCATGACTAACTTCCTCAAGGTTTTGACATGATCCTTTCCTCGGCGGGTTTTGGCAATCATGTCGTCAACATACACTTCGATCTCCTTATGCATCATATCATGGAAAAGTGCTACCATGGCCCTTTGGTAAATTGCCCCAGTGTTTTTTAGGCAAAAAGGCATGACTTTATAGCAAAAAGTTTCCCATAGGGTAATAAATGCCGTTTTTTCCTTATCTCTTTCATTCATCCTGATCTGATTATATTTGGAGAACCCATCTATGAAAGAAAAGAGTTCAAACCCGGTCGTGCTATCCACCAGAATGTCAATGTGAGGCAACAAAAAATCATCTTTTGGACTGGCTTTGTTCAAGTCCCTATAGTCAACACAAACTCGAATGTGGCCATCTTTTTTCACCACCGACACTATGTTTGCTACCCACTCGGGATATTGTGAGACTTCAATGAAATTCACATCAAGGAGTTTCATGACCTCGTCCTCTATTTACTTGGAGAATTCTGGTTTTGTTCTTCGTATCTTTTACTTCTTGAGAGGCATATCCGAATTGGTTGGAAGACAATGTTCAACAATGGATGGGTCTAGACCTAGCGTATCGGCATAGGTCCATGCAAAGACATCTTGATATTCTTTTAGCAATTGGGTCAAGCGCTCAACCTCATGTTTAGTTAGGTTTGCCCCAATTTTGACCTCCTTGACATCTTCAGTGTCATTACAGTTTAGGGTGACAGTTTGCTCGACAATAAGTGGCTTCGAGTTTTCATGCTGCTCCCAATTACTTTGAATATCACCATGTTCACCATCGCTAGAGTTCAAGACTTCATAGGTTTACATAGGGTCATGCCTGAAACACAAAGTAGATAATCAAAAAGACAAACAGGATAAACTATGTGCATGCTTGAATTTCATTTTATTTTTTTTTCGAAAATTTTCAGAAGAAACATGAAGAAGCCCATGCTTCAGAATTGATTCCTTGCCGTGTTCTTTTAGTAGGTAGGATTTCATCACAGGGCTAGTTTGGTGCACTTCATCACGCCCTCAAAACATGAAAACTTTCATGAATTTTATTGAAAGAAAAACGAATTACAATCAAGAGAAATCCTGGAAAGGAATTCCTAACATGCGATTCTAAAAAGCAATAAAAGCTACTACATAGAGGAGACTGCATAAAATTAAAGTTCCCCTACACTGGGGAAACTAGGTCATCAACTTGTGCTTCATTAATGGCAAACACGAACTCCTCTTTGAACAAGTCAATGATTCCTTCGAGTGTGTCCTCTTTCTCAGGCGCTCGCTCTGTGGAGACAACGATATCTTAGATGCCAAAGTTCGGTTGTTCTAGGGCATAGATCGAATCCTCTTCCTCATGCATCATCTTTGCAGGCCCAGGGAATGTGGATCTTATGTGGAGTAAGGTAAGACTAGCTCTTCCTCTTCCTCCTCTTCCTCTTTCTCTTTGAGACCGTCCGCCCCTAACGCAATAGCCTAACCTAGTCGTATACGATTTTCGCTTAGCTTCAATGGGTTGGTGGATGCCTTAATCGTGCCTTCCTAATCCACCGCCTGGGGTAAAGCCACTTCTTGCCATAATTTTGCCTACCATGACTGCTGGCTTTGACACTTTTGGGGTTGGTATAGTAGTACCTTGGGCCACATGAATGGTTGACACTAGTTCAAAGGCTTGATAACTGGACTCAACCTTGCAATCTGGCTCTACATATGGGATGACTGTCTCGCGGTAGAATCTAAAATCATCTTCTCCGTGGACCGTGATGAGTTTTCCATCGATCGCGAACTTTACCCTCTGATGGAGGCTTAAGGGCATAGCTCTTGCTGCATGTATCCAAGGGTGTCCCAGCAAGAAGTTGAATGCTGTAGGGATATCCATAACTTGGAAAACCGCATTGAATAGTGCTGGTCCAATTTGCAAATCCAAGTCAACCTTCCCGACCGTTTCTTTCCTGGTTCCATCAAATGCATGGATAGAAGTCTTGGCTACACAGATCTTTTCCAAATTGTACTTAAGGCGCTTCGGAGTTGCCAAGGGGCAGATGTTAAGGCTAATCCGTTGTCAAAGAGTACGCGGGCCACCAGGGTGTTTCAGCACTTGATCGATATATAGAGAGCTTTACCGTGTCCTCGTCCCTCGGCTGGGAATTCCTCATCTGAGAACGCGATTTAGTCCTTCAACAAAATGGACCCCACAAATTCTTCTAGCTTGTCTTGTTCGATTGATTCTGGGACATGTACTTCGCTCAGGACTTTCATGAGGGACTTTTGGTGCTTATCCGACGTTTGAAGTAATTCCAACAGAGATATTTAGGCAGGCATCTTCCGAAGTTGATCCACCACATTATACTCGCTCGCCTTAATTACAGCCAAGAACTCTTTTGCTTCCTCATCACTAACCGGCTTGATAGGTTGAGAGTTGGCCCAAGCATATATACACCCGGATCGAGTAACCACATCTATCTCTGCGTCATAGCACCATGGGACCGCCTTATCATCTGTATACGCGTAAGGTTGCGTAACATCAAGGATTAGTTCTTCATCATCAGATGGTGGCATGTCGATGATTAACCAATCTTCCAGTGGCGGTAGATCATGGGTTATAGGGTCGGCCTCATTAGTCTCGATGTCTAGATCAACGACTTCATACTCTAAATCAATGACGATGGGAGTAATTGTTGCAACTATACCAGTATGATCCGCATAAACTATCATTTTTTCACCAATCGTCGCCTTAATTCTTTGTATCTTCAGAGACATAGTGGGCTTTTCTTCATCTGAATAATATTCGACTCGGACTAGACTATCATAAACATCATCCACACGCACTTTTAGATTCTTCTTTCTTCCCACATCAAAACCGAGTATGGCATTTACTCCTTCTGCATGATCGGGCAACGGATTTTTCTGAACATTGGGTTTTGCATTACTGAAGGAGAATACCTTGGCGTCTAGAAGATTTTGAACTTTGTGCTTGAGTGTGAAGCAATCATCAACGGAATGTCCCTTTTCTCCCATGTGATAGTCGCAAGTCTTGGACGGGTCATAATTGGGGAAGCGCTTAGGATTAGGATGCCTTGGCTCCTTGGCGAGCAAACCTTTATTCTGGAGGATTGAGAGAATCTTCGACGAGGGCTTGGGAAGTGGTGTGAACTGTCGCCGGGACGAGCTCCTCTGCTGGCCGAAGAATGGCTGTGACCCACCTTGCTGGTCGTTCGGGGTCTGGGTGTGAACTGGTTGTATATAGGCTGCGTTAACTTCCGCTATGGGCTCCTTATCTTTCTTGTTCGTGAATCTCTTAGACGACCTGGTCTGGTCGGATGCCCAGCCATCACGAATGGCAAGCTCGATGCGCTCACCCACTAAAATCAACTCTGCAACCGAGTCAAACTTGGATCCAAGCACTCGGTTGCGAAATTCGAATGGCAAAGTCTTCATAAATAAATCCAGCATCTCCTTTTCGGTTAACTCGGGTGTAATCTGCACGGCTAATGCTCTCTATCTGATAGCGTAAGCCTTAAAGGACTCGGTCTTCTTCTTCTCAATACGAACCAAGTCTTCGCGGGAGGGTGCGACATCAATATTAAATTTATACTGCCGTAGAAAAGCGCCATAAAGGTCTTCCCAAGCCTCGAACATATTAACCTTCTTTATTATATACCACTGTAGAGCTGGCCTAGTCTGGCTCTCTTGAAAGGGGTGGATCATAAATGATATGTTATCAACATGTGGAGTCATCTTCATCCAGTAATACTGCATGTGCAACTTGGGACAAGAAGTGCCATCATATTTATTGAACTCGGGTGCCTTGAACTTTTTAGGGACCTTAACCTTAGCAATGTGGGAAAGGCCTCTAGGGAGCTCCTCTTCGTAACCCTGGAGTTGTCTAAGTTTCTCCTCAATCTTTGCAATTTGTTTGCTTTCCTCGGTCTTCGGAGTGGCCGAAGGTATTATTTGCACCTTATCATCAGCAGGGGTTTGAGATGCGTCAACATCCTTGACCGATGGTACATCATCAGAACTTGATGAGCCACTTGTGGAGACGTTCTTTCCTTTGTCTTTCGGGTCGACAATGTGAGCGGGTTGTGGTAAAACCACTTCAACTGGCTGAGCTGATGGAGTAGTGTTCATCTTGATGGAATCGACTTCCTTGGAGAGTTGTTCTAGGATATTTAGGACTTGCTTCATTTCTGTCTCAAGGGCGGCGA